AGAACAGAGAATAACGTCGATCTTCTTCACCTGGGCCATCGTGAACTCCCGAGCTCCAGGCTTCGCGGTATACGTATACACTGCCGACTAAAACACCGCCAAGACTTGCAAATCAAGCTTTCTTGAAGACTCCCCTCCTAAACCATACCACTACTATTTCTCATAGCTTGCATCTGCTACCGCTTCGCCCACCGTTGCTACCAATATTTGCTGTCACAATTACCCCAATTACTCACCACTTCTTCTCTTTGCCACCCAGGCCTGCAGCGCTCGCGCCTCCGGAGAAACCTGCTCAAGTCAGCACAGCGAGGAACCCGTTAGAAAAGTCTGCCCTCCCTGCATAAAGCGTAATACTGTCCTTATTGCTGGGGGCGACAGGAGGACACATTGAACCTGCCATGTTGAAGCCTGCAAGCTTGCAAGAGGGCCATGCCAGATGGGATGCTTCCTGCTCCAGACTTGCACGAGAAACGCATAAGTGAACAGGCTCTGTAGCTTGACGAGTTTGACGGCCAGAGGACTGCTAGTAATTCTGCCGCTACTGCTGTTGCCTAAATTCTCGCTTGCAAGTCTCACTGCCTCAACTCCGGCCAGCTGGAGCAACTAGTTGCGATGCATTTTTCTCTTAGTGGCGGTTCTCCGACCCTCACAGCAAAGACAATCTGCGACGACTCTGCTTCCAACACGCCCCGCTGAAGGAGCCTGCGACGAGCTTGAGGACGAGCTGCCCTGGAACACAACTACAGTACATGCTGCTACGAACTTGGGGGTTGGCGAGGGCGACGGCGACAGCCACGACGACGATGACGTTGGCAACTACAGCGCATGCAGCCATGGCACTGCTACTGCTCATGTCAACCCGAACCAGCAACGTACGTCAATGATAGCAAAAAACACAAACACATGAAGCAAGAGCAGGAAGAGTGACAGTCAATCACACTAAAGCCCTGATGCTCAGGCATCAAAGAACTCCTTCTACATTATCTTTGTTGCTGCCTTTCTCCTGGCAACTGGCTTTGTCTCCGCTTCGTTGCTACCACGACTGCCTTGCCGCCATGCCTCTTGTCCTTATCGACTACTGCTTTTCTTCTTTGGACTCCAGCGACTCCGCTGTTCCCCGGCCTGGATCGCTCGAGCTTGCGGAAAACCCTGCCAAGGTCGCAACATTCGTTCGGGCATAGTATCTCAGGTGCCGCAGTGGGCTTCAAGCGCAAACGCGTTGGGTCCTGTTGCATCGAGTAGAAAGAAGAACGCAGGAACTCTTACAAGTCCACGAGTCCCCGCCCGCAACTTGAACATTCTGCTGGGGAAGGCAATGGCAAGCACAAGTCTGCCAAACGGCCATGTCAGCCAAAAGCTGCCACAGACTTGTGCCCAAGACTGAGACGAACGTGGTCTGCGACTGTAAAGTCTGGAAGCTAGTGCCAACTTAAGGATACAGCTGTGAGGCAATCTTGTTGTTCTGACCACGCATATTCTTGCTTTGTGCTTCAGAATCTGGCTGCTTCTTCTTCGGTCTTGTTCGCATGATTCAGCCGCACTAGCACTGCTGCCTTTTTTGCTTAGTCCATCAGACTCACCAAGCAAAGCAAAAAGGAAACGGTGCTCCTTTCCCACATGCCCAAGCTGAAGGAGCCTGCGACGAGCTTGAGGAAGAGCGGCCCTTGCAGGCAACTGCAACGTGTCAAGCCTTTCCCAAACGACATCAACCTGCCCTGCCCCTGCCTGCCGGTTGATACTGCTACCACTGTTACTGCGCGTCCCCTGCCCCTGCTCCCACTTCTACTCCCTGCCTCTACTCCTCCTGCTGCTGTCGCTAATGCACTGGCACTTGTATCGGACCGTCCGTAGTGAAACCGATGCAGTGATTCAGGCCTGGTCCGCTTCGATCTGCATGCGGCTTCGGCGCAAAGCCTTGCCGTGTAGTGCAACCAGCGTGGCCGCAAGCAGACTAAGCAATGCTATCTTGCAAGCAATGCAACAAGCCCATATGAGCGCCATCACCAGCTTGCCACAATTTAATAGCCTCATCGCATATGAATGAAAAGCAACTGAATATGACGGCAGCTTCGGAGAAGTGCCTGGATGGACGCCGCAGTCAAACTCTTACATTCCAACGCACGCTGCCCCAATATTTGTGCGTGTCTAAGGAAAGGGGTTTCGGGCTTGCTTTGCCCAAGGCCTCTGCAGGGTTTAGGCGTTGCTTTGGTTCCAAACTGAAACACTTTTAGGAGGTCCGTGCTCCTCCATTTTTCAAGAGCCACCGCCAGAGATCAGACTCATGTACTCCAAACCCCAAACCCTGAATCTAAGCTCCCCCCGAAACCCTAAACCCTAAACTCCCAAACCCTAAACCCTAAATCGTGAACCCTAAACTCCCAAACACAAAACCCTAAGCCCAAACATTGAAAACCCTTCAAAAATGGGACAAAACGGGAACCTCCAGGAGCTGCTTCTCCTCGTCGTCGCTGTTTTCCGCGACCTTTCGGCTGAATCTGCAAAAGAGGGTCCCAATGGGATCCTGAAAAAAAAGGGTCCTACTATTTAGGATACTAAATTAGGGTACTATATTAGGATCCTACTATTTAGGGTACTATTTAGGGTGCTATAACAGGGTCCCCTCTTTTTGGAAACGGAGTGTTGGGGCCTAGGCTTTGGGGCTTGGCGGCTTGTGTGCAATCGACTGCATTGAAAGTGGTTCGGTGTCCCCTGTCGAGGATTCATTGACCCGCTGTTGCCGGCGCGACTCAAAGCGCTCCACCAGCTAACATCAACCCCCGAGCTTTTCTGGCACCCTCTGCTAAGTTGCTTCGCCGTTCAGCTCTTGCCAAACACTCAAAGCTCAAACAAGCAAGGCACGGCCCTTCACTGACAAGAGCACGGAAGATGCCTCAAGGAAGCGTGGTGAATTCTCCCCCTGGAGGCAAGGCTGCTGCAGGCGTGGTTTTTGGGTGTCTGACAGGCACGAATGTATCCAGACAGGAACCCTTGGAGGTGCGGAATAGCAGGTGGAGTGAATCCCAAACAGCAGGAGACAAATCGCTCGGAAACGCTTGTGGCCAAAGCCGAACCCCTTCCTTCAAAATCCCTTCACGCAGCAGGCGGCATTGGCAAACTATCTCTGGCACGTAAACTTCCAAAAGCACTGGCCCATGTCTACGCAGCCTCTTCGTCATCGCAGACGTCACCCACCCGCCGCAGGCCATCGTTGGGCTGGCACATATCACAAGCTTTCATGACTACAACTGCGAACTTGCAAGTTCGTTGTATCAACAGAGAAACCGTAAGATCAACCATTGTATTGACAACATCGATTCTGATAAAAAGGCTGCAACTTCAAGAGCACTGTTTTCTGCTATTACTATGACGACACCATCTAATACCATCGACTACCACCTACTCCTGCTACATCTACTCTTGCTACTCCTGGATGACGACGAGACGACCACGACTGCTGCTGCTCCTACTCATCATGACACCAAAAAATCAAAGTAATTGAGCCAATTTATTCATTGTTGCCACTACCACTACCACTTGTCGCCACCACCACCACCACCACCACCACCACCACCTCCGCCACAATTTGCCAGACACCCTAATCCTGAATTAGGGAGCCACTGAACCCTTGTTTTCTAGGTTGAAAGATCTCAAGGTTTCGGTGGTGTGATGGATCGGATTTTCAGGCTTTCGAGCTTCTCGACTAGGCAGACGCAGATGACCAGGTGCGGCACCCAGCGCTCGGGCAGATGCCACGGGGGGGCGAAGTCGCAGCAGATGTGCATGGCCTTGGACGCATCGTGGAAAACAGACGTTGCACTTGTAACGGAGAGAGAGAGAGAGAGAGAGAGAGAGAGAGACAGACAGACAGACAGACAGACAGACAGACAGAGAGAGGGAGAGTGAGAGTGAGAGTGAGAGTGAGAGTGAGAGAACTGCGGCATCTTGATCTTGAGCCCATGCTCTCGCTGCCGCCCGGCCTGGCCGCGGTCCACGGGCCCTGAGAAGGCGCTCGTCTCGAAGGCCGCCGCACTCAGCCAAATTGTGCCCCTTTGACCTCGCAATTTCAGCCGGGCTAGGAGCAGAGACCAACCTGCACAGGCAGGCCTGCTTGCGTTTGGGTACAGTGACTGTGTGTATCCATACATGCTGTTACAAAACTCAGCAAGCGGATCCTCTGTGAGTATGGGCAGGTCAGTAAGTACAGAGTGAGTACGAAGGTAACTAAGTGTGCAAGCAGACAAGCAAACGAGCAAGCGAGCAGACAAGTAAGCGAGAAAGCAAGTAAGTCAATGCAAAGTATGTGCGATGTAGTACTCAACTGAAACGCGTGCATGTCGTTTCAGGCCCCCGACTGCTGTAGGAGATGGTCATGGAAGCGCCGCATTCCTGCCAAGACAGCCGGTCCCAAACTTCGGCAGCTGTTATTACTCGGCTTTAGGTTTGTGGCTGTGCGAAAGCGCTTACTGTACTCCCTAGACCTAAACTGCTTCTGCGGATGCTGCGAAAACGCCTCGCAAGGCAATGAAGGCAAGAAAGGGGCCCAGAAAATTGGATGCGAGCTTTGACCACTAGGCATAACCCAAATCCCGTAATCGTGAGTTTCTGAGGCATGATAGTGCAATGGCGCCTGGCAGAACTCCCTCACGGCATGCCTGCAGTGGCCGGTCAATGTTCGCTCAGTGCTGGAGACAAACATCTGCCTAGCTGTGGCCGAAGATCTCAAAGCTTTGATCTTGCACATCGGGCCGGGCGCGAGAGAGAGAGAGAGAGAGACAGAGAGAGAGAGAGAGAGAGAGCCTGTCACAGAATATGACGGCTGACGTTGTATCCCTACCGCAACCGTCACAGCTACTGCAGTCATCAGCTTGATTGGCATCACCACTAAGATAAGCTCGGAAACTCGCACCGTCTCACACCTAGGCTGTGGTCTACCGAGCAACCCTGTCCCAACATGCTGCGCATGACCACCAGTACCATCATCATGGTCGCCATCGCTGCTATCAATGCAGCTCTGACGAATGTACCTGCAATCCTGAACACGAACATCTTCTGCTGAACCCTGCGCAAGTTGAGGCCAGCCCTTGCTTTTTGTACCAGCTATCGCGCCAGCGCAGCAGCTTCAGGTTCTCCTGGCCATTTCCCAGAAGAATGAAGGAGTTTCTGCCTGCTGACTCTCTACCGAGCAGCCGGTTCCGCACTGCAGCAACGCAGGAATAGTCATCGTTGAAATGCCAATCATCAACATCACCGTCATCATCCGCATCATCATGGCAGATAGGCCTGTGGTGGTCGACTCTGACCGCCGCAATCCTGCGCAACCCTTGAAAGTAGAAGTGGCCTCTTCGAAGCCGTCCGGTGACTCGCAGCGCGTGAGGCGCCGCCGGAGCCTTTCCGATGGTCGTGGCAGCAGGGCCTCACAGAGGTGTGGGCTTCAAGCCTGCTTGCTACCTGGGGTTTAGGGCTTCAGGCTGTTGTTGCGCTCAGGGGCTCAAGGGCTTTTCGGGTTTAGGACGGCTTTGTGCTGGTGCGAGAAGAGGAGCTGCGAATCCATGCTGCAGGAGCAACCCCCTGTTTCCACAAGCGGTTTATGCATTCGCAACGACATCCTGCTTGGACCAACATTGGAGCGATCCCACAGACTCGGCAAAGCCTCCAAGACTTGGTACTCCGGTGACATCACGTCCTTCCTTGGAATACAGCTTCCTAGCCCAAGCAGGTCGGGGCAATGAAAACTTGGAGATGAGGTGCTAAGGCTCTGAATTCTCATATTCTGCCTGCACACTTCCCATTTTTGCTGGGAACAGTCCGTCGCAGTTGATGCTGGCCGTTGTGATGCTGGTGGGGGCGGTCAAGGCAGTGGCGCTGTAGCTGAGGTCTCATTCGTAGCCCGCGGTCGTCGAGGCCACAATAACTACAAGCGTGTGCTCCCTTCCATCATTCCAGCAGATTGCGAGCCATTGTTCACTAATTCAGTGCAGCCGGAAATATCATTGCTTTCATGTTTGCTATGCTTGTTGCCTTGATTGCAAGGCTTTACATCGGAAAGATGAACACTTGAGGCATTGCAAGCAAAGGGGCACTGCGTCGATCAGCGATGGCTGCGAACACACAGGTGTTCTGTGCCTGGACAGGTACTCCAGGAACACATCCGATGTGGCAACAGTTTGCGTTGGCAGCTTTGGGGCGAATCGCTTCGGGGACTTTAGATTCTGGGTCATCTTGTGGGTCGCTGTGTGCTCTCTCTCTCTCTCTCTCTCTCTCTCTCTCTCTCTCTCTCTCTCTCTCTCTCTTCCGGGTAGGAGAGAAGGGCAGCGTTCAGGCCCTTCCCCCGTGCGGTCCGCACACCCGCATCGCTCTCTCTCTCTCTCTCTCTCTCTCTCTCTCTCTCGCAAGGAGATGTGCTGCGAAAGTGGCCTCGGCCTCACAGCAAGTACACACGATCTTCATACTTTCTCCTTCCGGATCACTTTGTGAATATTTCCAACCGTACCGTTCATGGTGATGGTGATAAAGATGGAGAAGGTGATGGCTCTGATGATGATGACGGTGGTGATGATGATGATGATGCTGATCGACAATGACCGACGACGAGATCACCCAATCGTGGTGCTGACCAATCTGAGTATGGGAGACTGAGGAAAATGTTGAATTCGTCGAAACTGATTCAAGATTCCGATTCTCAGTCCGACATTTCTGCAGTCTGAACTGCCAGCCCTGACCTTTTAACCTTTTCAACCCGTCAACACATGCTTGCAAGGCACCGTCCGCGGGAGTTGTAGCGCTTGAGCCGCGCACGAGAGGGAAAAGACCTCCACAGATAAACGACTGGCTCAACAAGCTGCACCAAGAAAAGGAGCATTGAAAACATAGCGAAACGAAGGTATATGAGAAAACCGGGAACCAGAATGAAACTTGGACAAAGCAAGAGCTTTGGGCTTGTCCAAGAAGTGACTGGCGTTCGGTTGATGTTGGAATGACAGGGGGCACAAACACATCGGAGACTGTCGTTTAGTCTGACCATCGGCATCATCATCGTCATCATCTTATTCTTCATCTTCGTTGTCGTCATCATCGTCATGATCACCTTCTGCTTATTCAGAATGAGCATCAGCAAGCATCGTCATTCCTGACGATAGTTATGCCATGACTAGCGGCAGCGAGCGGCTGCATTTCCCAACAAAGCCTAGTTTAGGCCAGACCCTGAAGAAAATAGCAAACAAACCGGAATGGGAGATATTGTGATATTGTTACGGACCAGGACAAGGCACGCCAAGTCCAGGAAACGGGCTGCACGCTCAAAGGTCTCAGGGTCATTGAGTTCGTCCTGCCAAGAAACGCAGCTCAGGATTGAAAGCAAAGTTAAGAATCAATCCAGCTGCAGCTGAGATAACAAGTCCTTCAGCCGAGACCGGAAGCCATATAAATGCAAGGGCACAAGAAAGGGATCGAACTGCAAAGGGCCTGGTAAACAGGCATGACCCAGCTTCTGGCTGCCCGTAGCTGACGCCACCTTCAACAATCCAACCGGCACCACCAGGGGGATCCGATCTGCCCAAGATCAGCTTCCCTAGAAGAGCTTCGGCAGCAGAACATGCCCAATAGGCGGCATAAACCCCTCACGACTCACACAGAAGACGGTGCCTGAAAGCCCACTGAACCTGAAACTCCTGTCCTTCTCCAGGACGAGCAGGTGATCGCCGAAGGATCTCTTCATGGAAGCCAGGGCTGTGGCGAAGCGCAAATACCTCAGGTTCAATCAGCATCTGTAAGAAGCAGCAGACGAGGAAGAGGAGGAGGAGGAGGAGACTACAAGAGCATGTTTCCCGGTACTAACTCCTGCTCACAGGTATCGGAACCCCTTCTTTGCAGTATCACCCGGCTAGTCGAAGTGCCTGTCGGGCCCAGAGCATCAAACTCAGACAGCCGTTCTTTGGTATGCCTCTTGTACATGCAACATCATGTAATGCAGTGACCTTGCGTCATGACTTTGTTTTGCCATCAGGAGGTGTGATGTTCGTTGACTTTTTTGGTCTTCAAAACATTGCCGCTATAGTCAATACTTTTGTTGCGCTTCTCCGTTCTTGCTGCGTGCTTACTCTTCGGACTCAGGCAAAGAACCCAGTCTTGTCCTCCAACTTGCGAGCCATCAGCTCCTGACCACCGCGACGGGGGTGGGCTGTTTCTGACCTGTGCAGCCTTGCGCCTATGCCTTTCGGGAAGCTGCCACACATGTGAGCTGCACCCCCGACACCGACCCTGCCGCTCCTTTAGTTCTGCAGGGTTGGCGTCGTGCTCCAAGTGAAGCTTCCTGACCCGAGTTCTCTGTCATGAGGATGACCGCGGTTCTCGGAGTCTAAACACTCGGAAAGAACTGCGCCGGACCATACTCCCAGGAGCTGAATCTCGAGTTGATGGCTCTTCAACGATTCAACGAGATGCAACTGCCAGTCTAAGTATTCGTGCTGTAGCCTTGCTGCTTTTTGCCTCCCGACGCTCCTGATCTTGCTTATCTGTTGATGTTGCTGCCCCGGCAGTTGCCTATAGGTTAACATATGTTTCTACCAGTACCAATTAGTTACTGGAACCGCTATGGCTAGCTAGTGTCACTATTGCTATACAACCTACAGCCATCACAACACTGATGATGGCCAGGTTGGTTACAAGTCATTAGTATTGCAGCTTGGTTGGATAGAAGTCATTGTGTCTGTTCGACGGCCAACACTTGCCTTGCTCCCTCCCTTGCAGCACCTAGCCCAAAGCGAGCCTCTCGAAGCGATCCACCGGGTCGCACACGGCCAGAACCTCAAGCGGAAGATGCAGAAGGAGAACTTGACTGTGCACGAACCTCTGATTTCAGACATCTTGTTGCTCTCTTGGTCTCGTTCGTACTCTTGTCCTTGTCGGCAGCACTGCTCTGGGCGTTCATGGTTAATCAGATTTCGTACGACCACGACTTTGATTATCTGGAATTAAGCAAGCCATTGATACACGCTAGTTTGGATAACACGCTGGGTCATCATAACGTTCGGATCAAGTAAGACCCTCAGGGTCCAGGATAACACGGCCACCATAGTCGTCCTTGTATTCAACAAGTGCACGCAGAAGCGCCTGCTGCTTGGGTTCGTGACGTAATGCTCGGAATAAACGTTCAGGACAGCTCCCTTGCAATGTCCGGACAGGGATCTGAGGTCAGGATTTAGAGATTGACTTTGAGCTTAGAGAGGGGCATAAGCCCACCTCAAGCTACGATAGAAAGAAACCCAAAGACCAGACCATGGATGCCCCAAGGGCGAATGTCCTCTTTGACAGAGCTGGGAGCAGAGGCTCGGGCGATTCGCATGTCCGGAATCAAACTGAACACGAACTCCAGAACTTCCTGGCACGAGGCTCCCCTGTGCCCACTCTGAAGTTCATTCCTGTTCTTCTCATCCTTGCAATTACAACCATCGTTGTCGTTCTCGCTGCTGTTGTCCGCATGTGCGACGATGTTAGCCTTACAGTAGTGTGGTTCAATGTGACAGTGAGCTACGCCCTACCGGTATGCCCACCTCACGCCACATGACGGGCTGGTAGATGCCGAGACGCTTCACCTCAGGACCCAACCAGCCACAAGCTTCACGCAGCCCGGCTTCCAACAACGTGCTGAACTATAAGAGGTGGCACGAAGAAGTGACTTCAATGTCACGCACACTTCTCAAGCCCTGTCCCCCTTCCCAGCAGCAGAACGACTTCCAGAAAAGACTGCGGAGAGCATTCAAGCCAAAGGATGGATCCAGACATTCTAAGATCCGAAAGGCTCTGAGGCACAGGGGCCCCAAGCTATAAACGTGCTGATGCAAGTTACCCCAACCATCGCGTCCCGATGCGCATTGAGCCGCTGCACCTGATGGACGGGCCGAGCCGAGGCGCTTACAGTCGCTACAGCGGTGGTATCTGGTTGGGCAGTTGTGCGCTGGACTTGGGCATAGCAATACCAGTACGTTTGTTCGAAGCCTTCGAATGACGATCCCTGACACGCTGTGTTGACTAAACACATGCTCAGCTGCAATCCTAGGATCGCTGAAGAAAGCAATGAGCCAACTAATTCGACGTCTCAAGTCTTCAGCGGCACAGCTCTCAGCACCTACACCTTGGTGGTAACAGCATGAGAGTGTCCGTCAGCCTGCGACATGAGAGGCAAGGTCTGTCGGCCCATCTCCATGAAAAAGAAATCCTCATCCTGCAAGCAGAAAGCCGCAGTGGTACGGAGCATGCATGTTATCTCCTTCGAGCTCCATGCCCTGAGCCTCCTTTCACCCAATCTCCGTTCCCAGAACATCACTTCACGAAGGAGTCTGCTGAACACGTCTGGACCAGAGTCTAGGTCTCGACACAGCTGCATAAACTCTCTGAGTACGGCGGCTTGTTTCATGTTCGAAGGTGCCCGTGCCCGCTACCATTCGTCGCTCAACGAAGATGCATGCTCCACTGCAGCCCTCTCGCCTGGTTGTGGACGGACAGGTGGGTAAAGTTGATCTCCTCAGGTAGGCCAATGCGGCACTGCTAGTTCTACGCTGTTGTCTGCCGATGGGGAGTATCTCGATCTCGTATGGAGGACGAGGGCGCCGGATGCTTTGCCAGATTATGACGCAAGGACGTGGTGCCGCAACCTCGGATGCATCATGCCTCAACGGCTTGCTCCTGCAACAAAAAGGGACCGGTGACTCCAGAACAATCATGATGCTGATCACTGTTGCAACGGAAGCTACACATATACGAGCAGCAACGAAGGAAGCGAGAAGAGCCCGAAGACGAGGAAAACACTCCGTTTCGCAAGCATGCTACTACGAACCTTGGCAGAAGGAAGAGCTAAACAAAGAATACCGCAACTAGGATTGGCAGCAAGTGAGAAGGGCTAAACCAAGAGCAACCATCATATAAGCAGGAAGATGGTACTACTAATAGCAAAACAACGGTAGCAGGAGTAAGGATGAGCACCAAACAGCCAGTTTTTGCCGTAACACTTTCGGCCAGACAACAGCAGAGACAGCATCCGTCAAGAGACCACTTAAAGCATCAGGGGCCGTCGAGCCCCACAATGGCGAAGTCGAGCCGGAGGTCAGCCCAGTGCGAGAGCTCCTCCGGTTACGGGATCTATCTTATAAGGGTACTAGACTTTTTAAGGAAATGGCTGAGACGAAGACACATGCCAGAGGTACTATTTGTGTGGCACCGCCGGTGCCGCTACTGCTGCTGTTGCCGCAGCAGCTGCTGCAGTCTTATGCTTCTGCCGTGATGACGGTGGCAATGACGACGACAGCACCGGGGTACTTTGCTGACTTGAAATACATTCGGGAATTGTTTGTGGTATCGATTTAAGTACTTTTCGCACCCAACGATGCTATGATGATGATGATGATGACGATGAGTACCTACATAAGCTAGATTAGGAAGAGGATTAACGTGATGATGGTGATGGCAGTCACCATTGGCGTCACAGACTCCCATGACCGATGTCATTTGAAGATTTATCCCGTCGTGACCGTTATCATGCTGACCGCTTCTACTCTGGCTAGGACTATATACTGCTGCAGCTTCGCATGATCTTTGTGACTTGCCTGGGTGGTTATGTCATTGGGCGGGTCCTGGGCCGTCAGCCTCTCAATGGTGACGGCATCGACGCCGATGAACCTCTGGAACCAAATCGGCGCCAGCACGGCTTCCACATCGGCCTCGTGGTATCGCTCGGCAGGAAGGCGGCAGACACCAGCGTTTTCGAGCAGAGTGTTGTGAAATTGCAAGCTTTTGGGTAGCATTGCACTCGCGACTAAGAGTGCCTGCTTTCTTGGTTCACGACCGGATACCTTTGTCCCCAAAAGTGTCCCCACATCCCTGGCCTGTGTGCAGCTGTAGGGCACGCACCTGGGAAAGGAAAACAAGATGTTTGCTGAGCTGTGATCTGGTGAACATCACTCGGAACGCGGGAACCGGGTCACAGCAAGGGCTTGCTGTGGGCTTGCTAATGCAGCAGGAGCACAGGGTACTGCGGCGCGGTCCAAGCGACGTCTGCACCTGCATGCCGAGAGTCATCGCATCCAGCACAAGTTTACTCCAGTCCTGCTTGACACCTATGTCAGTGTTGCAAGGAATTCGGGGCCATCATCCCAAAAGCCTCTACCCTTGTCCGCTTCGACGTCCATGTGCTGCGAGAGATTTCGAGACCGTCAGCATCAAAGCACAAGAGTTTACCCTGCTACTGTTCCACATCTATGTGCTGCGAGAGATTTAAATTTAGAGAACGCCTCAAGGCACAAAGTGTTTATTCCGATCTTCTGTTCGACATGAACTTTGTTGCGACAGTTCTCGAAAGTGTCTGCCCTGATCTTGTTCGATATCTATGCCTTAGGAGAGCTGTCAAAGCAGTCAGCCCCAAAGCAAAGCGTTTACGCCAGTCATGTTTGGCATCAACGTGCTTCGAGTAGATTTCGAAATCGTCAGAGCCAAATTGTACGCCCCGATACTCTTCGACATCTAAAGCATTTACCCCGATCCTGTTCGACATCTACGAACATGTACCCCCATCCTGTTCGACATCTACAAACATTTACCCCGATCACTTCCGACATCTACAAGCATTTACCGCGAACCCGTTCGACATCTACTAGTATTTATCCCGATCTTGTTCGACATCTACGAGCATTCTCCCCGATCCTGTTCAACAGCTAGCAGCATTCTCCCCGCTCGAGTTCGACATCTACAAACATTTACTCTCATTTACTAGCATTTGCCCCGCTCATGCTCGATATCTGCAAGCATTCTCCCCGATCCTCTTCGACATCTACAAGCATCTGCCACGACCCTGTCGACATCTACAAGCATGTTGCTGCTCGACATCTACTAGCATTTGCGTCGATCCTGAGCAGTCTCCCCGATCCTGTTACATTTGCAAGCATTTACCCCGATCCTCTTCGACATCTACGTGATGCGAGAGATTTGCACCTGCCTGGTCATTCACACAAAGCAGCAGCGTTAAACAGCCGAAACACAACGGAGCCTGAATCTTCAAGCACCCGGTTCTGCCCCACTACCTCTCTGGTGTCCCAGTACACTGGGCATCATTGCACACCATCTCGCCGCACTGAAATCGTGCCTCACTGTGCCAGTAGCGGCCTCCGCTGCCCCAGCAGCCGAGGACCTCCGTTTGTCTTGCCAATCGTGACTCGAAAGTAAACGCCTTCTCACAACTCAAGAAAGAGTAGAGAAAGTGCTGATACTGCTAGGTGGCCATGTAACATCTGCTTCGAAACCTTCTAATGCTTGAAATGTCCGCACGTTGAATTAATATCTTGGCAGATCCCAGCCGAACTCCTGCATTGACTGCCCCATGCGTCGCCCATGGATCCACCAACTGCATGGTTGCGCAGAAACTCAACCCAAATGCAAGCGTATTCAAACATCACAGATATGATTAGCTCAAGCAAAACCATACGCACATGTTTGACTCCATAAGGCGCATCACTGCACGGATGTATGCACATGACACTCTGATTTCTGTCTAATCCACACAGTTCGACGTACGCCTTGTCATACCCTACCCCTGCCTTAAAACCTTCTCAAAGATCATGACCTTGACACCAGCCGCAGCACCCTCTACACTATTGTGAGAGCAACAGACCTTCGTTTCGGCATCGGTGACGAGCCTCGGATGCTCGAAAGCTTCTTGCTTAGATCAGGTTGGAGTGCTATTGCCAAGACCGGCGTGAGACCTCAAAATCAAAGGCAAGGCAGCTGGCATGCTTGCTTGATGCCACATACGTACAACCTAGAATAATCGTCCAATGCCGATCCATGTCTGTACTGACCTGCCCAAGATCAGACAGGATCATGCTCCAAACCTCAACTGTACTACATTTACAGCATCAAAGTTACATAGTGCACACTATACAATACCTTATATAACTGTCTTCTATACTTAGTACGGAGCCTCAAAACCCAGTCCAAGGCGCAGAGCCACGTCCGACGTCCCTGACACATCCCAGCTCGTGTGGTCTCGGTGGGCGTGAAGGCCGCCGATCTGAGTTAGCTCCTTTGACACGTGTCTTGGTGATGACATCACGCCGACAACGTGCAACGAAGACTCATCCGTTCGCTAGACAAGCAAGCATTGTCGCCATTGGTGTTATGATCATTGTGACCATTGTCATCGTCGACATGGCCACCAAACACAATCATCGTCCTCATCGTGGTCGTCATCGTCAACGTCATAATCATCACCAGCTTCACCATCATCATCATCGTCATCCTTATTGTCATAGTTGCAAACTGAACATAAGTGTGCTCCTCATCACGCACATCAACGTCATCTTCTGCAACAGTACACCGATGGTGCAGATGTGGGTTCTTCAGCAAACTGAAGAACCCACGCGACCAGCATGTAGAATAGAACTGACACAGTTGCATGGCGTGAGATCTGCAAGACTTATGCTCGCCCGCCCCTCCATCTCATCTGACCGCTTCAACCACCCACCACAGCACCTTCCAATCATGCCCTAAGTCCTTTGAAAGGCATACTACACCTGTCTGAATCTGCTCGCCCAACGATGTCTCAGGACTCATGAAAGGTTTTGAGCGCATCGTGGATGACGATTAGGCGCATGATACGAGGAGAGAATGGGAACCATGAAGAGGAAGTAGATTACTCGATGATTCGTTGGTGATGACAACATGATGGCGACTGTCCAGAACCCTGTGCACCTCTTCCCGCTGGGTGAAGCCTGCAAAGCTCTCTTCTTTCGACCTTTGAGGGTGTGGGGTGTAGGGATGGGTAAACGGAGATACACGTCATGACCGGCAAGACTGCTGCCGACCTGGAAGGGTCATGAGTCATCAGACTTTTGCAAACCGACGATCGATGCCAAACCCTGTGTTGTCCACACCCTGACTTCCTCCACCCTCTTGCATTGCGTCGCTTTGAAGCTGTTCCCCGATAGCAACAGCTTCAAGCTATCGTCGTCACGACAAGCAGCATATCTCTACGCAAACTTGCAGACTGATGCAAAGGGCGACTTCTTGGCTCATTTTAGCAGGGGCACCCACCGTAGCCCGATGCGATCAGAAACGCTGAAGCAGATGACCGCCGGAATCGCTCGAAGTCCTGCTTCAGAGTGATGTCGACTAGTTAAGTGTCTTGATATGTGTGTAAACACGTAAACGCATGCAGGTAGGTACAGTAGGCATTGTGTGAGCGCATCTACACATTAATGGAACTAGTGCTGTCTGGCGCTGCTCGCTTCGGTTAAGTACACAAGTGTGGCACATCGACACGCTGAAGCAGCGGACATACCACGGCCTCATTCTAGATCCAAACTTACACGAGGAAACAGGGAGATGGTACACTGTGCAGCAAGGACACGACATCCAGTTGAAAAGCGCCAACCTGTACAACACAGGTGAAGGCAATAGGATCCCCCAGATATCACACCAAAAGCAATCACCAGTCAGACGATTTATTGATACCGTGCAAGGCATGGCAAAATGAGTACAAAAGGATGAGACATCGAAGTCTGGGACGGTAAACATGGCCAAGAAGCTTCTGCGGCGGGGTGTTACAACACTGTGAACGCCAATATGTCGAAGTATGCTGTGCACCAATACGTCACCATATGCTGTGATCACCACAAGCTCGAAACAGGGCGCCTGAACCCATATACAAGATATACGACACGAAAAGACGAGGCATCACAACACACACATCGAAACTTGTCATGTGTTGTGTCACAGACTAAGACTAGTGATCAAGGGTGCGTTCATTCGTAGCGATATCAGTTCGAGAGCTGCCAGCCAATGCTGCGAGCCAAACAACAATGGGGGACTCTTGCTGTTGCGACCTCCAAGTATTTCGCTCTGCAAAGTTCCCGGCAATCTTCACAAGGTCGTTGGCCTGGGTGTCAAACAACCCTCCCGAATGAGTCGTTGCTACAAACTTATTCCGGTCACGGTCTTTGTCTACCCAATCTTGCGCTATGTCGCATAAACTGGTGTATACGCATCGCATTTTGATGGTCTATTATGCTATTATACTTCGAGCCTGCCAGAGCTTCCACGGGTGGGAAGAGGAGTGCTCATCCTATTCTAAGGTTGAAGCCGCAGACCCTACTCCAACTTAAGTGCAGCATCTCAGCAACAGATACTGTTTCTAGAGCAGCTGTCAACTTTCGCCACCCACAACACACGCACCAACCAACCGACCCCGCATTGATTCTAGTGTGTGGACTGAGCCTCCTGCTCTGCCAACGGCATGCTGGCTCTGCCTGTGACATGCGCAAGCGCATGGTCTGAGGTCGGAAGAACTTGGTTTCGTGAAATACCGTGGTAGGTCCCGAGTATTCCGTCAGAAGCTTCGCAGGAAATCAGGCCGATCCAAGCAGCTTCGACAGCCCAGAAGCCCTCGAACTCTGCCTCGCAAGCAGTCTGCATCAACGTCGCGCAAACCTCCTGGGAAAGATCTCGGAGCTTTTTTGCAATCCACTGCACGTGATCTTGACTGCGCTCATGACGATAAACCCTAAAACCACGCTGCGGTTTGAGCATCATCCAGGTTTGTCACGGCTGGCTCTTACATAACTATGGCGTTCCCGAGCTTTCTGAGGTTGTGCGGGTGCCTCCCACCGTCTCCTTCCGAACTTGCCAGAGGGCTTCTCTTGCACAGAGTCAATGCTTGCAACGCTTCAGTTGTCGTGAAGCAGAAGCTGTTCTCTCTCCAAGGTACACAAGAGGCAAGTCATTTACTCCTCATTGGAAGGAAGCTACCGACAATAGAGAGATCTACACCCGAGGTCCATGTGGAAACGAGACGCATCATTCTCATCAGCAGCAACACCATCATCCCAGGCACCGTACTGGCTGCTCCGTCCTCCACTTCTGCCCGAATCGCATGGCAAGTGCCGGCCTTGAAAAGGACTTTGTGCTGATCGATTTATAGTTGAACGAACAAGCATATCAAAACATCCGCAGCAAAACCGTGATATCTAAGGCGTCATGACCACGGACACAATTTATGCCATCAGCGAAGTATACTCGCTGAAAGCGGGACTTGCGGCCCGAACTTCGTCGCATTCGGGACCGCAGCAGCAGCGCTCCTGGCGGCAGGAGAAGTGGCTCCCCTGTGTGCAAGTAGATCTCCTCAGTTTTTGAAAGTCCCTGCAAGCTATCAGCAACGATGAGAAAGCCTTAGGAAGAAGGATCCTAAGACCAAGCGAGATCCGACCGTCTTGCCCCAAGACTCTTGAACACGGAAGGTCAGGCAGCACCCTTGAAACAGAATCCATCAATCAACAAAGAACTTCTACCCCAAAGGTGGTTTTCTCTCGTAACATGATACAGCTCGACTTGCATTAGAGGACTCTTGTACGATCGGGAGGTGGACCCAGACCTGTTGGTCGACGGCGCAGCAGAGAACGAGCAGGGCGGAAGCAGCCGTGCGAACATACCTGCGAGTTGCTTTTGGGGCCTACTGCATGGGAACTCAAAATGTAGGACCACGTGCGTCTCTAACATTCGAGTCAGGAACAGAAAAACAGAATCCCAACCCGAACGCCGAAACATAGCTCATCAACTCTCAACCCCAGAAACTTCATCGAGCTGTGATCCCTGTGCCTCATGTCTCAGCACGGCGCATCCGCCGCTGCCTTCAGGATCCACAGTTCGGGATGGATCACAGGGTTTGGGGACGCTGAGCCCCAATTAAGAGGCTTAAAGAATTTGTCCGGGGGGACTTGGTATGCTCCTATCATGAGCCCCTTCCAAGATTTCGCCTCCCCGAGCAGTTGCCGCGAGAGGGCGCGCAGCCATGGGTGCGCAGGCAAGGAGAGTTTCGGAGGTCGTCAGGTCGGGCGGGGAAGTAGAGCCTTCCACGCAAAATGCTGGCTTTGAGGAATTCGCTGCTGAAAGCTGTTGACAGCGATTTGAGCAGTTCCCTGCTATTCAGTTCAAGGGCTTTCGGTGGAGCATACAGTCAGGAATCAGACAGCGGGTCTAATTAAGGGGTGTCAGTGTCTGCAGGTGTAGGGCTTGTCTACATGCAGAAGCTTCGAAGCCCAGAGAAGCTGCTGTTTGGGAGGATCGGGAGAGCTGCCGCAAGATCTGCACAGCGCGCTTCTGTGTTTACATGCACCTCTGTGTTCCGAGCATGAGTATGTATGTGCAGATAACTTATACCTGTATTCCTTGTATCTTGCATCTATGTCTGCATCTACATCTGAATCTATGTCCCTATCTATACCTATGCCTATATCTGGATATATTCATGTACTGCTGTTTGTATATGTGTATCTGCATCTATACCTGTATCTGTATCTTTGTCTGGATCGACTATATCCTTCTACATACAACTATACCTATATCTGTGTCTACATCTGTAAGGACATGCACCACAGCGTGGCGTCAGTGATGCGCTGTATGCTGACCGAAACATGCACTGCAAAATAGCCATCCCAGGTGATGCTTGAGATAGACAGGAATGAGCACCTATAGAGAAAATAAACACCACTTCATGTAAGACTGTTGGCATGGTCGACATATGTCTAAGCACAATGTTAACAAACTTTGTTGCCTGATGGACATGTCGCACATCATAGACTTGGCTTTACGTGCATACTACGTTCGACATGTTGCGGGCTGCATCTAGCACAAGGCACAAAAACCTTCTCTTGCGGGTGCACAGCCTTGATGGACCTGTGTGCGAGCATGTGTCGGTGTGGGTGTGTGTGCTTGCGCTCGTGCCGGCGCGCGGGTGTGTCTGTCCTGATATGTATGAGTATGTGTGAATGTTTGTGTGTGTGCTATGCGTGCTATTTATGTATGTCTGTCTGTATCTATGTGTGTATGTATGCATGTATGTATGCGTATGTAAATGTATCTTTTATCTGAGTATCTTCATATGCGTACCTGTGTATGTACAGGTATTTGTAGACATACCATATACCTACACAGTATAATCTATGTACTTTATCTTTGCAAAAGGATATGACAGGATGCGCACATGCTTGTTAAGCCCTTGAGTTTAGCAAAGATCTGGCAAGGCGCCTTGAGCTTCGCAGCGTCTTTAAGGCAGTG